TTGTATAAATATAAGTAAAAAGGGGGGTACGCAGATAAATCAACGTGTTACACGCTGTGCACGTAAAATTGGCCTAAATGATCTGTGCCCCAACTCAATATATTTGTGCAATGTACATAAATTATATAATATATAGTGGTGGCCCGCGCGATGTGCCCCCCTCGATTTTCCCGCGTCAAGTTTCGCAACAATGTACACAATATTTTATATACACATATATATATTCATATATAGCGCATATTGTATATATATGTATATATTATGCTTGTACTTTCTACAGTTATTATTTTCCCCATATTTGGATGACTAGGTTTATACGCCGGTTAACCTATCCCGGTGGAACTCGTAAAGACCGCCGAACCGCCTTCACCGGTTCCCCAACATTTGTATATATAATATCTCATAAAAAAAAAAAAAAAAAAAAAAAAAAAAAAAAAAACGCTTTTTTTATATAATTTTTTACGTAATTAATCTGCATTTATTATTAGTGAAGAGCGAAGATATAAAATCAGTGATTGTGAAGTTTCAAATTTACGTTTATATGGATATAGTGAACAATAAAGGAGCAAACATATTTATAATATAACGTAAAATAGTTTTGATCCACTTGCCGCGCCATTTATATACTTGGCCAAATGGCCGGGCAAACGAAACACCAACGAAAGGCGAGTGAAAGGCAAAGGGGAAAAGTAACATGTATACAATATGTGCAAATATGTAGGTATAAATGATTGTACGTATATATAAGCTTCTTGGGCGTTCCGTGGGGCTGGCGGACGAGCGCTTTGTCGATTACGTTATAACGTGTACAAACGCTATGAAAAGCGCCCAACGCTTTTTTTAAAACCCTTAAAGTGAAAGCTTCATTGCTTCACGGGAGAGCATCTAACCGAAGTTAAGGCGCTCATCAATTTTCCCACTACGCGTAATTTTGCCCCTTGCGCACATATAAATTTTTACGCCCGCGGGGAAAATATAGAATGCATTTGCGAACTTTTTTTGTGCATTGAATTTCTCATCCCTGGGAAATTTTTACACGATTAGCGGCAGTCAATAGCCATTGCGCGGTTTGCACTTATTTCCTGCTGCCTTGCACGTTCGTTAATTTTTTTTCCTACATTTACATTTATTTTTTTTTTTTTACACATGACATTTATTTTTTCCCCAGTCTGCGTGAACATCCCTCCCCCGCAACATATCGTAGTACGACCCCTTTCCATTTCGCCATTGCACTTGCG